CTCTCTCTCTCTCTCTCTCTCTTTCTTTCTTCTTTCTTTTTTCTTTTTTCTTTGTTTTTTTCTTTCTTTCCTTTCTTCTCTCTCTCTCTCTCATATGTAGTATATTTAATAGTTGATGAAGGGAGCTGAAAACAGCCAGGTTTGGATTTAGCTTCATTGGTTGGTACTTTATGTCTCAGTTCTTTAAGATAAATAATATTATGTAGCTGGAAACTGCTGCACACAGTAGGAGTGGTGGCTTACAGCTGTAATACCGACTGCTCGGGAGGTTGAGGCAGGAGGCTCCGGAAGATCCCAAGTTCGTAGCCAGCCTGGGCAAGTTAAGAGACAATGAACTCAAAAACTGAAACCCAAAATATAAATAAAAAGCAAAATAAAAGATAGATTTTGGAAATAAGGAGGTAGTTCTTTTGCAAAGATAAATGAAACTAAATATATTGCTGCACTTTCAAGTTTTCAAAACAGTGTTTAAAAATTGCATTGTTTTTATTTTTTTAAAACTCATTTGAAAAAGACTAAAACCTTCTTTCAAAAGAGACATCTAAATGTGCTTCTAATTTTGTATATGGGCTTACGTGTTGTAACCAATTAAGAAAAAGCTGCTATCGGGCTGGGGATTTAGCTCAGCGGCACAGCGCCTGCCTGGCAAGCACAAGGTCGTGAGTTTGATTCCCAGAACTGGGAAAAAAAACAAAACAAACAAAAAAAAACAACAAATGAATAAATACAAGAAAATGCTGCTATCAAATATGATAAAACCAAAAAAAAAAAAAAAACCAAGAGAGAGAGAGAGAGAGAGAGAAAGGGGACTAAGTGAGGGAAAAGGGGATGAAAAAGAATTAAGATGTGTCATGAACACGTACCAGCACCCCATGAGGAATGTCATTGTTCTGTACTGCAAACTTGTACTAACAACATAAGTTGAAAAAAAACCCCAAGAATAAAAATCAAATAAAAAGAGCTGGGGATGTTCTAGAGTCCGGCTGGGCTCCAATCCCCAGTACAGAAAACAAAACAGAATGAAACAAAACACCAGAAAAAACAAAATTGCTGCACATAAATATTATTTCCATCAAGGAAGAATAATTAATGTTGGAATTTTTTTCTTAAAAATCAACATTTGGAGATAATTAAAAATTATGATTGTAGAAAAGCCAGAGTAGTCCAGATGACTGGTGACCCCAGTAGTAATTGTCCTTGCAGTTGGTAGGGACACAGAGCGAGGCAAATGCGAATGTCCACATGGAGTGCCCACCGCGCTCCCGCCTCCGTGAGGGTCACGCCTCCCTCTCGGAGCTGACTCTGGCCATTTGCTCTCCCACGGCCCGCAGGAGGGACTGGTTGGTGTGCTTCTCGTCAGTCCCGGGGCAATGCCAATAAAAACAAAATGAGGAGATTTTATTTTAATTCCACATAGAAAATAAACCATAGGAACTTACTCCAGTGAATAATTTCCCCCTCCCTACCTTAGTTAACTGATTTGGAATTCTGCAGCTCTGGGTAATGAGCAGCACACATCGAAGTGATCTTAGTGTCAGATGTGGGTAGGGAGAAGCGCCCTTCAGTGCTGTGAAGCGTAGACAGACATGAGTCCCCATCCTTCCGCTCCGTTACACTCGCTGAAATGTGATCTCAGTACAAGTCCTCCAGGTGGTGCTTGGGACATTTATTAATTTGAAGCAGATAGTTAGGAACACAACTTTAAATGAATAAAACATGAAATCTAACAATTATATTGACCTGTAATTGGACTATATGTTAATTTTTAGCTATCTAACAAATAAATAAATAAATAAATAAATCAACCAACACAAATGAGTTGCTAACTATGGAAACTCTGGTAAACCCTGTTTTGTATAATACTTTCAGTTCTATTTGTATTGATAAATTTATGCCCCAATCGTAGCAATCATTTCTTTACAATGGACTCTACCATATTCGGTAGCAAAGACATGGTCTCTTACATACTTTTCTCATTTTAATCTCCAGTAGCTGTTCCTCTAACCTCACTTGTCTGAAAGATTTCAGTGCTGCTCATGCCCAATGCCCCTGTGAATCTGGCGTATTCTGATAAACATAGCAAACATTTTGACAGCTTGAGGACAATCAGAAAACTGGAACTGCAGATTATGACAGCTCTGATGCTGGAATGAACAGAAATGCGGCAGCTTTGTTCTGGTGCTCAGAACACAAATAATTTGAATGCAAAGGTCTATTAGGAGAGCTAGCTTTACAAAGTCAGAATGTTAGTGAAACTGCTGCTCAACATTTGGGTGGGTATCTTTCCAAATTCCCCACTAGTCTTAAATGAACCCACAATAAAATAAACAATTCAGTCTCAGTTGTTTGTTTCTTTTTTACTTTTCTTTTGTTTTACATTAGACCTTTCAAAGCAGGACCACTTATGAAATTGCCAGCTGGAGAAGTAGGCACTGGTGTGCTGCAAAGGAGAAGAAAATACAATTCTGACTTCAGAGTATCTGTGGCAGGTTTTTTTAGTTGATATTTGAGCGTACTTTCAAGAAAAAATGGCATTGATCAACTTTTAACACAGAGTAGAGTAAACCAGTGACCACGTTCAGCCAGACTAAGAGTCAGGACCCTGAGCAAGCATGATTTCTGCGCACAGGGTGGACACCCTGAGAAGATGATGCTCTGGACGAGGTCAGCGGACTTCTGCCCACGTGTTATGAGCGCTAGCCCCGCGCCTAGGTGCGAGGTGGAAACTGCCCCAGAGGTGAAAGTGCTCTCGGCGGCTCCCCAGCGGCGAGGGGCACTGCAGGCGTGGTTTAAGACGCAGTCACCAAAGGCCGGAAACGCCAGGCTCTGCCCCAGGTTCCTTTATCTTCATTTGTGTTTTGTTTTTTTACACAGACTATTTATTTGAGACTTAAGAGCTGACATCTATTGGCTGAACCCCATCAAAATAGCAGTAACAATGCTTAAATGAAAAACACGAAGTTTGCCCTTTAAACTGTGCAGTGACTGATATATTGTATAACTTACACTGTTATATTCTACTTATATTGCCAAGCGAAATGCCCAGGCGTTATTCTTCTTAGTAACATTTAGGAGTAGAGCACGTAACTATGTTTGTTGTAGAGTAGTGTAAATGAGTCAGGGGCGTTTAGTGTTCAAGAGACCCGAGTGGGACTTCCTAGATCCGAATACCGATTTTGCCAGTGGGTTTTGTGCATGTCTGGACCTCGGTTTCTCTTATTTCTAATGTGGATATAATGGTTTTTTTCAAGGATTAAGTGAATCATTATTGAAAAGCACATGGGGGAGTTCTGTCTGCACAGACGGAGGGCTCAGTAATGTTGGGTGTTAGGCACTTAGAAGTTGAATGACACGATCCCTAACATTGTCTTGATTCTAATTCATGTTTTCTAAAGGAAATAAACTTCTAATGACACTCGCCAATATTTTCCTACATCCCTTTTACTTGTAGTCAGAGATGGGAACAAAGGCAAAATTCGCCTAGAAGAGTAAAAACGTATCATTTTTCATTTCCTATTTCACATTTTATTAGCAAACAAAAGATACTAATTGATGTCTCGATCCTGTTCTTTGGAACAAAGAAGTTATGTAGGCGGAAGTACTGGCAAAGTAACTTGTACATTTCATTTTCTTTTAAGAAATGGTGTCAAAAGGACACATATCAGCCTCAAGGGAGTGAAACTTGTATTATTTATAGAATTGTAAAAGGGTTGTTATTCAAACTTTCCTATAGAACTTAAAATGCTTAGAGAAATGACATGGTCTCTGGATATTCATATTATTTTGATGTCAATTGCATTTTACGTTTTCTGAGAAACTTTATAAGCTACCTATTGCAGGAGAGAAAGAGTGGCTGTAGTTGCTGATTTTTTGGGACTAGTGAGAAAATTATGGAATAGAGAGTAAAAATTAGGAATAGAGAGTAAAAATTATGGTGTAAAGGAAAGAAAACTTTTGGAAAGCCCCCTTGGGGTTTCCTGTAGATGTATTTTCTGGGCATCCGTTATGTAGGTATCCACGTATTTCTCTCCTCACAGTCTCTTGTTGACCTCACTGTGTAAGAACATTCTGGCTTTGATACTGGACGCTCTGCTGCTGCTTGATCTGGAGCTGTAGTTTGCCCAGAACTGCTGAGCTCTCTAGATTGGGTCCTGAGTTGCCTCTATAAATAGTGTCCTGGAACATCTGTCCAGCTCAGATTGTGAGCCCAAAGCTAGGGGCCAGCCTCATCCTGTCTGAGCTGTCATTTGCCACAGCCCTTGTAAATCCTTAGTTTTAATTACTGCAGAAATAAAAACCCCTACCCTAACATGTAACATAAGGTGTGTTTATACTCCAGGTCAGAAGGATCCAGCTAGTTCAGTGTGAAAAAGTCCTGGTGAAAACTCCCCTAACAGAGGTCTCTGGAGACGGCTCCATGAGAATTCTTGGAACAAAAGCGCCCTGGGAGTGCGTGGGATCTAAACACACTGTGCTGAGGTACCTCGACCTCAAAAGATGAGAAAAGTGCAGGAAGCAGGTCTGCAAGTCCTAACGTTGTGATTGAGGAAAAATAAAGTTAATTACATTTGTAGAAGTTATGGTATCCTTCTAGATTATCTGCATAAAAGTCC